GCGCTGCAATTGCGGATGTTTATGTGCAGCGGTCGCTTTCCATTTCGGTGGATTCAGGCCGCTTGCTCGTTTGCCACCTTATATTATAAAATCGTCGTTAAATAGCAACATTATCAGCGAATAACTTGGACTGTGTTTAATTTACTTGTTAATTTTAAACAGAAAAAGTCGAGAGCTAGTTAATGTTAAATAACTTCAACTCCAAAGTTTCTAATTTTTTTATCAAGATGTATTTCAACTTACGCTGTGGATATTGTTGATAAGGATATCCTTGTTGCGGATATCCTTGCTGAGGATATGCTTGTGGGTATCCTTGCGGCGGATACCCTGGCGGTGGATACCCAGGCTGGAATTCCTGCTGTACATTAGGTGGGTATGCTTGATGCTGGTATGCTTGTGGTCGATATCCTTGCTGGTAACCTGCTTGTCCTTGAGAGACGGTATCTTGCTGAGGGTACTGAGTTGCCACGTTTTGGCGATTGTCCTGTAAATACACACACAGAATAGGAATAGCTAAGATGCTGTACTAATTTTTTTTGCATTTTTTACCTTGTACATCGATTAATTTTTAGGGAGAGAGAATAGAAAAATGTAGAATAGTATGAAATCATTTCGAATAATCTTACTAACTAATATTATAAATTCGAAAATTTGGATAAACGGAATGTTTGGTAGAGTTTATAGCTAAACGGGTGAACGGATCTCGATAAAATTTGGTATAGATGTAGAGGATAGTCTGGAAGGACATATAGGCTACTTATTTAGTTATTTTTCAATTCTGCGTAAACGGAATCGCTGGTGAAAGCTAGTACAATATAGTGGCTAGTACAATACATCGGCTGTTGGCTTATGGTCACGTCAGATATAACATACTTGAAAAAAAGATGGGAACTCTCTTTTCTTAGTCCTCATTCTGCCAGTACCATTTAAAATGTGGCAATTTTTTTATTATAATTACTTAAGACTAGACACCATTTAAGTAAACTAAGTGAAGACGCGGTCAAAAGATGGTACACGATAGCTGAAGTACCAATTAACCCTGCTCTTGAAGGCTACATTAGAACTGGACGGGTATACTGACGGCATCTTACTAAATTCACTTTTACGGATATCAAAATACATACTTTTACATTATTTATTCTAGTTATGAACTATACCGTATATCCTGGTACGAAAGGTGTAGTGGGATTTTGATATGGAAAGCTCTCGATCTGACCTCGGTCTGGCCCGGAGTACGGACCTAGAATTACGAAGACAACCAGCTCATTATAAGTCCCCACTTGGGGGGAGCCTACACTAAGTTAATGACTATGATGTATCAAGCACGCTGTACTGTGGGTTATTTTTTTAATATTATAAGAAGGCAAAAGAGCGTACGACCACGAATTCGCCGAGAAAAAGAAGCGATCATTGCCCGTATACAGATGCGTTGTCTACCCTTAATCAACGAAAGGGAGACGCACATAAAGGATATCTCCCCTTCCTATGCGTCTCCGTAGTAAAATCTGTATCTGATTCTCTAAATGTTAATAAGAAATAAAAACTATCTTAAAATATATAATTCATTAAATAATATAATATTTTATTACGATCAGATCTTTTTTTACAACACAATTTTTTAATTTAAAACCGGTTAATGTCACATCACTAGTTGAACCGGTACACTTGTTAATATATTGCCAGTATTATCTGTGTCTATGGATTGATAGATGTCATTTTAAAAGTTGTAAAAAAAATTACCGTAGTCGGTATATACCTTGAGGTTGATTTCCAAATTGGGGTCCACTAAAAGGACCACCCGTGAATGGTCCTACTCTTCCTGGCTGTAACGTATTATATTAAATTTTTATGTATGTTGCCAGTAAAAGGTTTACTCATTTTCGCGCTATAGAAATTCTGTTGCAATCTTCGATTTCGGTCTGTTATATTGTAGAATCACTAGATGGCGCTATCACTAATTTGGGTTAATTTCTGCTTTTCCTTAATAGAAGAATTCAACGAATGCAGAAGAATGTATAACCTCCTTCTTAAGGGAAGTCAGTTAAAAATAAAAATTTCCCTTTGGTTTTAGAAGGATTTTAAAGGTTTCCTATACATACTGAAGTTTCATTTTGTAATTTTTCAAATAATGTACTTACTTGTCCGTTACCCATTACATTTGTATATATTTTATTTTAAAAATTATACGTTATTTATTCGAAATCGTCTACATGTCTTGAATTTTATAATGTACATAAGAATTTAAATATAAAATTATAAGATAAAAATCTAAATAAACAACAATTTGGCGTTGATAGAATACGTTCAGAAATTGATGCATGTCAAAAATCACAGATTAAATAACATCAAGAAATAAATGAATAATTCTAAGAAACGGGGATAAGGAAATATTATGGACTTTTTTAATGACTAGCTGTTGCTAGCGACTTTACCCTCGTTTAAATAAAAAAAATAGTAAAAACACAGCCCATATTACTCAGTGATAACATAGTTTCAAAATGGTGCAAGAATTTTTGAAATCAGTCCATTAGTTTTTGAGTTGTTTCAATACATACATAAATACCACAACCCACTTTGTTGTATGGATTACTTATGTTTACCCGGAATTCCACTACAGTCACATTTGTAAATATCATACTAATATTATAAAAGCAAGTTTAGATGTTTGTTAGAGTTCGTAGTCGAAACGGCTGAACGGGTTTCGTTGAAATTTGGTATAGATGTAGACGATAGTCTGGAAGAACACATAGGCTACACACTTTCGTTTTTTTATTCCATGTGGACAGAATCGCAGGCGAAAACTAGTCCTAGATAAATGTTAAAAATACCATCTCGTTTCACCAAATGGTGCGCTTTATCTTTTTGCGCCATCTGTTAATCGATATTGACAAAATCTTTTAGCGCCATTTATTATTCGAAGTTGGAAAAACCTTTTAGCGCCATCTATTATTCGATATTGATAAACCAAACATTCTGTTTTTAGAGCATATAAAATGTCTTTGAAGTGGAATAAACGAGACAACGTTATGTGACACTAGCTTTCGCCCGCGAGCCCGTCTGTGTGGCATTAAAAAATCAAAAGCAAGTAACCTATGTGTTCTTTCTTTCCTCTACGTCTATGAAAAATTTCATCGAGATCCGTTCAACACTTTACGCTACTCTAACAAACATCTATTTGCATTTATAAAATAAGGATAGAAATAATATTCAAAAAGGTTATTGTAATCTACAATTAAATAATTTACACCAATCAATAACAATTTTAAATGTAAAACAACGTAATATTGTATTTAAAACTATTGAAAAAGTATCTCAAATTGACGTATTCAAGAACTAGTTTTCATACAGTATAGTCTTTTAATCTCTTTGAGGTTAAAGTTCGACCTTTGCATTACAAACAAAATGGATGCCTTACATTCTTTGTTCTGTATATCTATTTAAAAGTTTATTTCAAAGTGTTCTTTAATATGTTAAAATTAACTTTCTTATTATTGTTTATTGGTAAGTGATTTATTTTATTGAATAAGATGTTATTACGGTAATTTTGAGGTTATATTTAGTGATTGAAAAATAAATATGCTTTTGTTGATGGATGGATGTATCGTGTGTTTTAATTTGAAACATTTAAATATGATTTTGCAGGTATATTTTTAATCGAAATAAAAGCGTCTGTTCTTTATAAAGACAACATCAGGTAAATAAAACTATCAAATGACATTCTTATTTTTATAATTTGTCTAAATAAGATAGATTAGTTTGATAAATGACGCATATAGAATTCAATTCGTATGAGGGCAAATGCCGTACTCAAGAGACAGGTATCGTAGTGACGAAACAAACACGCAGCGAACTATTATGAACTATCGATATTCGGTTTAAATATTTATCGAACTCAACTAAAATTATTGTTTTCTTATTAACTAATTTAGAGGACAATTCTAGTATTGATTATAGTGTAGAGAATTTAGCGATGACAGAAATAATAGCAAAATCCAATTCGATTACGTACGGCTGTAGTTGTAATAAACATTTATTTACTCTTATTATTTGTAATGGTTCTGCAGGTCATTATTAATTTGAGAAAACAGTGTTTTTTTTTAATTCATAAGTTATAAATATGAATCTATCGATTTCTATCTATCGATAACTTCTATAAGAATAAAAATCGATAAGATTCATGACTGTTTTTACACAACCCATCCCTACTGAATCGAAAGTGAATTGACAAATTAATCTATCTTATTAAGAGACACTATAGTATATATTCATTGATTTAAATTTTTTTTTAGATTTAACATTAAGAACACATCAGTAATTCGAACAAAACGAGATTTAGACGAATGTAGGTGAGTTGAATGTTGTTACCATAATCTTCACCAGTGATTCTAAACCACTGGCTTTTTTGTGCCGCTAATTTTTTATTATTATCTTGTAATTAATCCCTTAACAAACGTTTAGTTAGTATCTATACTATTATAATAAAGCGTAAACACACACTTCTTTGTTGCCTTAGATGTCAATTACAGCATATTTTTGAATAATTCCTTTTTTTAATAAAAAGCCCTACACTTACGTCACGCTTTAGGCTATATATTTTCACGCCATTAAACTTAGGGGGTAAATATTTTGGAAAAAATCCTAATGTGGAAAAGAGACCATAAGTTGCTGCCAAGGAAGCAATTGTCACTTGTGCATTTTGACATTTCACGCGGATGAAGCCGCACTTGAACACCTAGTTGTAGAATATATTCGTTTATTTCGTATATTTTTTGTCATAAACTATTTATGCAGTGTATTGTAGTAAGTAAATAATTTTTAACTTTTTCTTTGTGTGCCGCCAAATTTTGAAATTGTTAATTATGTGCCGCAACAAAAAAAGGTTGAGAATCACTGATTACACGAGCGTTTTTTCAACGCGCCCACGCTTTTGTAAAATAATTCTTATTTCGTTCGTGTAGCGTTCATAATGCAACCACAACGGGGAAAAAAGTGTCACAATTTAAACGTTTAAAACGACAGACGTTCCATTCTTTCAGTTCAGGTGTAGCACACCTGTATATATTACATTAGCTTTTGCTCGCGACTTCGCCCGCGTGAAAAATATAGCCTATGTTACTCACAGATAAATTACCTTTCTAACGGTGAAAGAATTTTTAAAATTGTCCCAGTAGTTTTTGAGTTATTTCAATACATACAAAAATACAAATCTTTCCTCTTTATAATATTAAGTAATTGAGATGCGTACCAGGTGTTTTAGACCTGGTTTCGAATTCAACGTGTTAAGAGGGCTGCCCTGTAAACAGATACATAATACGCATTTTCGTCGTTTTCGCGCATAATATAATAGCGCCCTGGGCGTTTTAGGTGAGACTGTGCGTTGTTGACCGCCCTGGGTGCCCTGGACACACTTGCTCCCTACCTAATAGCTATCAGTATATCAGTGGTAGAGCCCGCTTTAACATTTTCGCACGAATGGGCCGGCACGCCCGGTGTAATACCACGTCCACACAGAAAACAGGCGTGAAGTGGAAGCAATTCCGCGTTTCCTCCAATGAGTGTGGTGTCGGAGGTCTATTTTTAATCCCTTTCCCTTTCTGTCCTTTTTTAAGAGGAAAGGATGGGAAGGAAAAGTGGATTTGACGGTGGAGGAGACGCATAGGAAGGGGAAATGTCCTCTTTATGTGCGTCTTCTCACCCGTTAATTAAGGGTAGGCAACGCTGCAATTGCGGATGTTTATGGGCAACGGTCGTTTTCCATTGCAATGGATTCAGGTGGCCGCTTGCTAGTTTGCCATCTTATATTATATAAAATTATGACGATATGTTCCAGCTACAATGAATACGAGTGCAAGGACGGCACGTGTGTGCGAGCAAACAGCGATTGTGATGGAATCTACGACTGCGATGATGGCAGCGATGAGGCTTTCTCGCTTTGTAGGAACAGAAAGTAAGTTTTTATTTGCCACTAGCTGTTCCTCGCGACTTCCACGTGAAACATCGTCACTTCACGACTTGCGCCTCAACTATCCAGTTATGTATATTATGTACTTATATCTATTTTTCAATACTAATAAAATAAAGCGTAAACGCACACTTCGTGGCGTAGGATGTCAGCAATCACAGCATATTTTTGAATAATTCTGTCTTTTATTAAAAGCTTGACACTTACGTTAGGCTTTAAGCTATATATATGTATATATATATTTACTTTTAACAATATAAAAAATAATTAAATCTAGCTTAATCTAAAAAAACGCTAAATAAACCTCAATGGTTTTTCACTAGCGTTACATACAGTGGTTTGCGTACATAAATATTGTTTCAGTTTGTGCATAATGTTTTTTTTTATGCATACATATTTTCACGCTATTATACTTAGGGGTAAAGAAATTTGAATTCGTGTGGGAAAAGGACTATAAACTACAAGCTGCCAACATTAAGGTTATTATGGTAACGGTAATTTTGACATTTGCAATTAAAAATTTGAAATGTAAACAATAAAATAAAGTTTTATAATTTCATGCGGATGAAGCCGCACGGGAACAGCTAGTCTACGTATATGTAATGTTTGTATCAATAGCAAATAGTAAAGTATTTATTCACCAAATTATTTTTTATTTCAGATGTCGTAAAAATCAGTTCCGATGTAACTACGGCGCTTGTATCGACAGATATAATGATGTTTGCAATAAAAGGGTAGATTGCGTCGATAGATCGGATGAATTAACTGAACAATGTACTGGAATTAAATTAACAGACGGGTGAACTAATTGCTATATTTAATTACGTCAGTAACATCATCATCCACTTGCCCTTATCCCTTACGGAGGGTCGGCACAGTATGTGCTCCATACCTTTCTATCAGCCGTCATATTTCAAACCACTCCTTTCTTAAGCACTCTTTCACACAATCCATACTTTCTTCGGTCTTCCTCTTCCTTTGTAGTCATCATTCAATCTTAACACTTTCACGTTTATGTCCCCATCTCCGCATATGTCCATACCACGCTAACCTTTTGCTTTCAATTTCTCCACCACTGGCGCTACTAGCTACTAAGTATTTTTTTTAATTCCACGCGGACGGAGTAAAGTTATACCGACATTAAAATTTTAATTCTTTTAGAGATAATTTCAAATGTCGCAACGGGCAGTTAATACCAAAGAAGGGACGTTGTGACGGTGTCAGTGATTGCGCGGATGCCACCGACGAGAGTGTGGCAGCCTGTGTCAATGTAACGTGCGGCGTAGGACAGTTTGTATGCGAATACGGCGGCTGTGTCGATGGCAAATCGCTTTGTAATGGTGTAAGTTTTAACACGTTGATAACCAGGTCTAAAACACCTGGTACGTATTTCACAGTGTGAATACGAAACGTTTTTTTAACTATTTGTTGCTCGCGATTACTTCTAATAAAAAATATAGCCTATACTAAGGATTATTCCCAACCGTCACCCCACTCTGTCCCCACGTGGCGATAGATGAGAAAAAAGTGTCATCCATCCCACCTTTTAGTCCCACTTTCACTAATAAGGTGACAAATGAAACCGTCAAGAAATAGGATAAGTTCTAACCGTCCCCTCGTCGTAAAAGGTGGGACGGATGAATTTTTATTTTCATCTGTCGCAACATGGGGACAGAGCGGGGTGACGATTTTGAATAATCCGTTACTCACTGATAACGTAGCTTTTTAATTGTGAAAGAATTCGAAATCGTCCCAGTAGTTTTTGAGTTTTTTCAATACATACAAAAATACAAATCTTTCCTCTTTATTATATTAGTATCATACTAATACTAATATTATAAATGGGAAAGTTTAGATGGATGTTTGTTAGAGTTTGTAGCCAAAACGGCTAAATGGCGGTGAAATTTGGCATAGACGCAGAGGATAGTATGGTAGAAAACATAAGCTAGTCATTTTTGTTTTTTTTTTAATCCACGCGGACGGAGTCGCGGGCGAAAACTATAAGATTATAATTTGCTTGTAGACTGCGGAATGCCGAGATGGTTCCGATGAGCGTTTGGATATTTGCGGTCGTTTGACCTTGATCAAGGTGACCGATGTTTCCACGACGGAGGCGCCGCTCGCCACTCCTAAGTAAGTGTACTTGGACCTACATGTAATACTGTAAGGAATGGTATGAAAGACAAGATACATAGATACCTTTATCTTACTGCGTTTAGCAGCGACCCAAAGTGGGTCCTCTAACACGAGGGACGGCTAGAGATATCTATACTATTATAATAAAGCGTAAACACACACTTCTTTGTTGCCTAAGATGTTAGCAATTACACCATATTTTTGAATAATAAAAAAAAAGCTCTACACTTACACGCTTTAGCGTGCGTTCGCACGGGCAGACTTTGTACGCCGCGGTAAAGTTCAAGGTCAGCAGACTTTTTACGCCCACGAGATAGGTGT